AACTTAGTTAGTAGTTAGTCGTACGTACGTACGTACTACTACGTAGTGTGTGTGTGTGTTAGTGTGTGTGTGTGTGTAGTGTGTGTGTGTGTGTGTGTGTGTGTGTGTGTGTGTGTGTGTGTGTGTGTGTGTGTGTGTGTGTGTGTGTGTGTGTGTGTGTGTGTGTGTGTGTGTGTGTGTGTGTGTGTGTGTGGAGGTCTGATTCTGGTCCCGGTTGTTTATAGAGCTTTTGTGTGTTGGCCACTTGCGGCTGTGAGGAGTGTGGTTTAATTACTGCTGCGTGTGTTGGGAGTGTTTTATATGGAGAGGTCACAGACAAGACGGACCCCTCCCTGCCGCACTAAAGCAGCAGCCGAGGAGTGTGTGTGGTTTAATTCAGTCCGAGTCCTGTTTTCAGCGGTTTCCTAGGTGACCGCAGGAGAGACAGCGATGGGGAAAAGGGTTGCACATCACTGGATAAGATGCCAACCTATAGGTCACTGAAAATGAGAGAGACTCCAAGGAAAAGTTTACAAAGCAGCTTTCATTTGGGTCACCCAGGGTCAGGACGAGGGAGGAGGCTCCATCGGGGCTTCTGTTATTGTGTCTCTGTTAATAAAAGTGAAGGGTGTGAGTCGGATCGTCAGCCACACTTTTATTAGACATCTGCTGCTTTCAAGTGGAGGAAATGTTTTTAAAAAGAGTGGTGGGTGGTTGGAGTGCAGCCTGTCTTAACCATGTACTGTTTGGAATCCGACCACTGCAATCTGAGAAAAGTAGCCCCACAAAGACCACAGCATTGTTGCTTTCATTGGCACCATCAACCGTTTTTTATTTAGCAATGTATTTAAAGATTTGTTTTTGGATACTTCTCGGATAACAGCAAGTTAGATATAACCCATCGTTAAATGTACTTCTTGGGTTTGTTTATTGTCTTAGATGTGTGTGACCACCAGATTCTCTTTCTGTTGTCTCTCTCTATCTTTGAACTTAAACCTTTCCTGTTGTTGTGAACAAGAACACAACCACACTTCTTCTACACCCCACAAAAACAAGTGGTTAACAAACAGTGGATGCTGCTCACTAATTAGATGCAGAGGTGGTGAGTGATTGTGAAACAAAGCTCAATTTTCCTGTAATTAGTATCTTTGAGTGCCTTGCAGGTATTCTCGGCAGTCTGGACCAAATGTGGGGAGGATAGTTGTGAGTCTGTCATGATGAAACCTTCTGGAAAATACAATAAGCAGGAAGCCTGACAGGGGGGGGGGAGGAGGGGAGGTTATGGAAGGTGAGATGTGCATCCCGTGCAGAGATCTCTACCCCACAGCTGTGTCTGTGCCCTGTGAGGCCAGTCTCCTGTGCGGGAATAATATACAAAATATTGCATTTTATTCATAGAGCGCTTTTCAAGATACTTAAAGACACCTAGCAGAGTAAAAATGTATAAAACAACCCACTTAAAATATATAAAACACAACATTAATTACAGATTAAAAACAGGTCTGAAAATTGAGTTTTGATTTGTGATTTGAACAGATTGGGGCAATCACAGGAGGTTGGCGTCTGAGGATCGAAGAGGTTTTTCGTACTGACGCTGGTCTTTTTTCTTTTTCTCTATTTAAAGTCCATTCTTCTTTCTTTAGTGAAGAACTAAACTAAAACTGCCCGATGTCAGAAAGCATCCTACTGCTCTTGATGCCATTTTGTTTGTTCACTTTGGGAATGCCAATGGGAGCACATACCTTTAGATCGGACACTCACCTCTGTCAGCAGACCGCTGTCACACTAACATTCAGACCAGTGCTGTAATTACACAGCGCTGCCTGCTGGGGGGGGGACTGCGGGGCTGAGTCTGAGGCTGAGACCCCGTCACTGCCGTCAGCATCACTACAGGCATGTGCTGGAAAAACAGAGAGAGTGAGAGAGACGGGGAGAGTGAGTGAGAGGGAAGGTGAGGTAAAGACAGACGGCAGCAGACCCTCCTCCTTCCTGCACAGATTAGAGGCTGTGTGTGTGAGCACATCTGGAGGGGCTGGAGGAGCTGAAGGACTGATGTGAGAAGCCAAACTGGAGAAGATTAGTGAAGCTACTCTGCTGATCGCTCTGTAGTGGTATTTTTGTGGATTTGTGTCTGTGTGTTTGTGTGTTTGTGCACCATGCCGAAAAATTGTAGAAATATCTTCACACACATTTTAAAATACGAACTTTCAATTTTGGCGAGATCTGACTGACTTCTTTCTCAAGTGAAGGTGCAGCTACTTATTTTATGTATTTCATATACATTTTAAAAGTAACAATTACTTTACAGTAAATGTTACTGTGTATGTTAGTAATGACATTACCAAATCAGTCAATTCACATTTTAAAAGTGTAACACAGTTTATAATACATAAATACATATTATATCAGCTTGGTTGAGGTAGTTTAACTTACTATCTGTAAAGGGCACAAAATAAACATTGAAATCTGGCCATATTCATTTTATTTTTCCTTTTTATGTGAACTACTAAACTTAAAGGGACTAAAACACATTTACTGAACGAGAAGTACATAAATCATCTCCTCAGGCACATTAACCAGGCTAAATCTAATTATTTATTTCCATCCTTGGTAGTGACTGATGGAGGTCTAGCTCTATGGGGTCAGGGTGGTGTGGCGAGTGTGTGCTGCCCCACGCTAAGTGTCTGTGCTGACTGATGAGGTGAGGTGTGTGTGCACGAGGTGAGAGACGCTCTCACCTCAGGGTCCCGCGGGTTGAAGCTACGTTTTATTTGCAGCAGGTCTCTGCAACACCTCACCTACTTGTAAACCAGAGCAGATGTAGACCGGCTTCCTCGATGCACTTGTTTTCAACTTAAACACGGTCCGTAGGTAAGGATTCAGTCTTGCTCAGCCTACCTTTTACTCTGGGATCAATTATGTGACCAATTGTTAAGGCATGCAGCGTTTCCTTCTCACCTGTAATTACAGTTGAACCTGTCCAGTGTGTGGGCTGCTCCACTCTCAGGCTGAAAAGGAAGGAAATGATGAAGTGTGTCCCACCCTTTGAGTCAATCACCCAATAAAGAAAGCTGAGATCCTGGGAAAGCACAGTAAACACTGGGTTCAGATGCAGGTCTGCACTGTGCAGAGCACCGTCAGCTGTTTGGGAGGTGGAGGTTGCACATGGTCTGCTTTAAATATATATGTAATATAATACCAACTGAGCTTAACATGAATCCACCAGTATTTTAAGTAAGCAACCAGTATAGAAGATCCACATTATTTCAACTTAAAGCAGTTGTACTAGCTCAGCCCATCTGCTTATACATAGAACTGATCTAATACATTTCTGACCTGCTGATAAATCATGAACCATCCAGATCTCTCAGGTCTTCAGGGATGGTCAGCTTTCTGTCACCATAGTCAGAACTAAACATGGAGAAGCCGCGTTCAGTTATTATGCTCCAAATATCTGGAACACACTCCCAGAAACCTGCCGGTCCGCTGCAACTCTTAGTACTTTTAAATCCAGACTAAAGACTTTTCTTTTTGCCGCTGCTTTTAATTGAACTATTCACATCTTAAACTGCACTGTAACTTTTATCCATGTATTTTTTCTTTTAATGTTTATTTTATTATCTTTTCTTTTTTAATGACTGATTTGAAATGCCATTTTCTTAATGTCTTTAATTTTTTGTAAAGCACTTTGAATTGCCTTGTGTTGAAAGGTGCTATATAAATAAACTTGGCTTGCCTGATCTGGACGTATAGGGGGCTGTTTCCAAAACGTAAAGACATCTGTATGTACTTAACTAACTGTAAGGAAATCACTGAGAACATTTTCATAGTACAGTGCTGTGTCCATCCGCAGCATGCCATGGTTGAATGAATTAGTAAAATACGGGTATATAATGATGAAAACGACATAATACAGCCACATTGTGAAAACACCTGTCCTGAAGACCCAGGAGAATATGAAGGATTATCAACATTGTTGTTTCGGACATCTTGATACCACATAACTGTAGAAAGTGTTCATGTTTTTTTTCTACTGCCTATCATTTTTAGTTACATTATACAAACGTAGCTACACTTTGACTTAAAGGTGACCTATCATTGCAAATGCACTTTTGTACCGTCTTTTTTACATGAATATGTTTCCCCGGTGTTCCAGGGAACTCACCAAGTGTCAGAAACACAACCCTCTCTATTTTCCTCCATACTCCCAAATCTCTGAAAAGGGCTACAACGGATCTGATTACAGACTGATCCAGATTTGAACACTTCTTATGATGTCACAGAAGTGGCGGCTACGGCTATTGGGCCAGACTCCACAATCAGGAGGAGACAGCCACAGACATTGCGGTTGGGAAATCGTCGGGTGTCTCTCTTGTAGTAGCATATGCCTATGTTTCTCCGTAGAATGGTCGTTCACAGAATCGGCCCATGCAGAAACAGTGTTCAATTGATGCGAAATGTAGGAATATAAAATAATTAGCTAAATGTCAATGCTTGTGATGAAAAATATTATGAGATATAATTTATGCCTTGGGGTATATAGGTATGGTCCACATAGATTATTCGAAAATATAGCTGGGGTTATAGGTCTACTTAAGGTTTTTCTTTGATTATCGTACCACTTAAGCTGTTCATATGAAAATAAAGCCCGTTCGAACCAGTTGCTCAAACTATCTTTTAGGAGTCATTTTAAAAACATGTATGATTACTCATGAAGTTCGTTTTTGGAAAAGGGCTTTTTAGAGGAAAAAAAGGACGAAGAGGAGAAAATGAACAAACACCCAGATCAAATCATCTCAATCTGTTTATTTTGCATTGAGAAATAGGCTAAGGAAGGGCTGCTTAGCACAACATATGTTCCTGAGGAGTACATTGGTTTAGCTTGGCTTCACTTGGTGTGTGTGTGTGTGTGTGTGTGTGTGTGCCTTTGGTGTGTGTGTGTGTGTGTGTGTTTGTGTGTGTGTGGTGTGTGTGGTGTTGTGTGTGTGCTGTGTGTGTGTGGTGTTGTGTGTGTGTGTGTGTGTGTGTGTGTGTGTGTGTGTGTGTTGTGGTGTGTGTGTGTGTGTGTGTGTGTGTGTGTGTGTGTGTGTTGTGTGTGTGTGTGTGTGTTAGGCAGATGCAGAGACAGAGATAAACGCCTCCCCTGTTGGCTGTCAGCAAACCCGGTCACTAAATGATGCGCAGCGCGCTGAGCTCAGCTAAATTGAACCCGACAGAGATGGATCAGGACCTTGCACTGTTGCTGTGTCTGCTCACCATGTGTGTGTGTGTTTTTTAATGTTGTGTTGCAGGCCCTCTGCACTGTATCTCCATAAAGAAAACATCACACATCTTATATGTTGTATTGTCCAATGTCTCCTGCAGAGCATATGGGACGACAACAAAAGTCTGAGCTTTTATATTCATGTCGCTCCTTGAGGACTGCTCTGTGTGCAAGCTGCGCTGAATCTCTCTTTCAGTAGACCAAATTACATGGGTGATGAGGAGAATGTTTTTAAAGGGCTCCAGTTGGTAGAGCTAACTGGGTTTATATTCACTGGGAGAGTATTACTAAGGAAACAATTACCATAAAACCGCCTCCAATACAGGATAGTGTGTTTTGTGTGTGATTGTGATGTCACAACTCAGACAACACACAGAGACACACACACACACACACACACACACACACACACACACACACACACACACACACACACACACACACACACACACACACACACACACACACCTCATTTTGTAGTTGGTTTTAAAGGGCCAATAATACAAGTTTTGAAATAAAACTCCCGTAATGATAATATAATGGTATAATAGTAAGAGCTTGTCGTTAATGAAAATGTAGCTGTCCCAGTTTGCACTTAACAACCATTCACACTCTTTCTGTCTGCACATGTCTCACTTTTTGTAATACTTTGTTTTATTTGAAGTTTTATCCTGTATGCGAAGGAAATATAATATAATCACAAGTTATATTTTAAAGACATTTAAGACACATTTAACACCTCATGTGAGCGGCAGTTTTTCTCCGCTGGATCTGAACGGTTGTGTGATTCAACATGCAAAGCCTGAACAGACTGCGAGCGTAGCATTGATGAGACTCGATATATATATATAAACAATATATATACAAGAGTTAAGCTAGTTTGCTGACCCTCAGTGTTTTTCATTTGTACGAGCAGTGAGTTGAGGAGAGAAACTCCTGTCGCGGTAGGAGCTCCCCTTAACCTTGTGTGGCTTCAGAGCTCCATAATAGACTTTAATTTAGATGAATTCAGTCACAAAAAGGGTTTCTGCTTAATCTAAATGGCCTTTTCCAAGCTTATCTTTCACTGCCAGAGTCCTGCTGCTACAGCAAAATACCTCAATACACAATATGCAGTGGATATAATCATGTTCTTATAACGACATAAACGACATAAACAGGCCTGAATACACGCACTCATTATAACATTTGAAAAGATAACCTTCTGCACTTGACATTCTTTTGTATCTTCTTCCTTTTGCTTATGAGAATATTGCACCAACAGGGGCAGAGATTATTTATAGTGATTGAAAACAAATGATCAAACTGTGTGTGTGTGTGTGTGTGTGTGTGTGTGTGTGTGTGTGTGTGTGTGTGTGTGTGTGTGTGTGTGTGTGTGTGTGTGTGTGTGTGTGTGTGTGTGTGTGTGTGTGAGAGAGCGCTGATGTCAGGACGGCCTCTGGCCCACTGAACTCTCTGTGGGGGTTTTCTCCAGTGAAGAGCTCTGACTCAGTGATTAGGGCCCAGTGCAACATGGGGGCAAAAGGTCGGATACGTTCACACATTTCTACGACCACCCCCCTCTGGGGCAATTAGCACACTGAGAACAAAGAGAGGATACAATGACCCGCGTCTATCAGGGGACATTCATTAACTGTGATGATGTTATTGTTGGCCAAGAGAGGGATGGACACCACTCGAGGCATCCGATTCATCCTCTTTCTACAGGCCCACACACACACACACACACACACACACACACACACACACACACACACACACACATAGTGTCATTAACTGTCACTCAGGAGATACTGAAGAAGAGAGGGTTCCTGCAGGACTTGAACTTTGTTGTTTCAAGCCAGAAGGTGTGTGTGTGTGTGTGTGTGTGTGTGTGTGTGTGTGTGTGTGTGTGTGTGTGTGTGTGTGTGTGTGTGTGTGTGTGTGTGTGTGTGTGTGTGTGTGTGTGTGTGTGTGTGTGTGTGTTTGTTTGTGGGAGACAATAGTCCTTGCGACAAACTTGGGTTGGTTCTCCATACAATAGCTTTAGTGTGGGTGGGTGAGGGGATCTTGTCGCTTGAATGTTCTTTACTCTCGAGGGGCGAGAGCTAGACTTCCTGAGCCCCCTTTGTAATTGAATGCAGCTATCTATATGAGCTCCAGCATGTACACACACACACACACACACACACACACACACACACACACACACACACACACACACACACACACACACACACACACCCTCTCTTTGTCCCTGCAGTATTCCCCATGTGGACTAAAGTGTGCTGTGGATGATCGTAAAGCATATCAAAGTGTGTGTTCTCAACGTCCACTGCTATCAAAATGTGGGAGAGTTTTCTCAAATCTACAGCGGATGCCATAACATCTCAGTCTCAGGTCTTACATGCTTTAAATCCATCTACACTTATAATCCTCTGAGAAATATCCAGGAACCCAAAACAGTGAAATCATGAGCAGAGGTTGAGGGGGGGAGTTATTGAAGCGGTCTCAATTTACCCTAAACCATGTGTTCTCTGTACTTTTCATACTCCTCCCTTGCCCTCTCTCTCCCCTCTCTTTCGGTAATCACTACCCCCGTTATGCTCTCCTGTCTTAAGTTCCCAAACGTTTATTTTTCTTCGTGACAATAAGCTCTCCATTTGCCTTTACTGGGCCTGCAGTGGATAAAGATTGGATCATGATATCTGATGTTGTGAGGCTGTTTAGGAAGACTAATGTTCTCCGGCTCGGTGCTAGCAGGTGCTATTTCACTGCTTCTTTTAGTACGACACTTGGCGTTGACCGCGGCCACTGAATGGCAAAGACGTGCTTCCTGGTGGCTAATGAGGTGCTGAACCCAGCCTCTTGTTTGTATCAGAAGCACCTGGGCCGACCCGAGCCAGACAAAGAAGTCCGTCTAGCTTTTCCACAAAGGTCTGCCCATTCAAAACATCCAGAACCCAGGGACACAAACTCCCACACTTCATAAAATGAAGGCAAGACAGAATGCGAGCGGAGACTGCCCATTCTCTCAGCACAAGGCAACTATTGTTTGTCTTTACACTCCCTCTCTCACAGGCTTTGTGATTTTATAATCCATAAAGAAACAAGGCCACTTGGCAATGATGCAACACACACCGTTTGTCTCTTGGAAATGTATCACACAAAAGAGCAAGAACTGTCTTTGTGGATTTCCATTTGTATCTTTTCTTTATACTCGGTAGTATTGTCAGCCAACAGTAAGAGGCTCACATGAAGGATACAAACCTACACACAGAAACTACAAAGAGTTGGTTTCTGGTATCTTCCACTCTGAAACATCTTCATAAAACCCACAGCACAGTATCTTTGGAGTGTTTGCTGTTTTGCATTGTGTGTTAAATGAACTGCACCTACCTACTTAACGAACAAATTGCTTTACAACCAGCAGTTGCCATATGAATGAAAGTTTCAACCCACGATCTAAAGATATTGCTTTTGAGAAATCACTATAATTTGCCATAGAGGTGACAGGTGTCTCTATCTTCATCTTCTGTTACAGATGCAGGGAGCCAGCTTGTAGCACAAGAGGCGGTGAGGAAACCTTCAACGCTCCGCCGCCCGCCTGCACGCACAGGAGAGCCCATCTCTAGTAAGACCTGTGGACACGTTAATGCTGTGACTTAACAGCACAACAGCAAAGGTGCACTACGTGTTTCCATGTCTGAATGTAAAGAAAACATTTAATTTGTTTTTTAGGTTGCCTGAACTGCAGCCGGATCACAGCTCTGACAGACCGGCTGAGCTCTCTGGAGGCCAAGGTTTGGACTCTTTCAGCTACAGGCCCCAAATCACTGAGATATGAAACATTTAACAAGAACATTGTTTAATTGCCCACACTTGTTTTATGTCTTGCTTCACCAGGTCCAATTACTCACTGTCCCGGCCTCCGTATCACAGCGCCTCCCTCAGGTTAAAGGAGAAACTGCACCAGAGGCCTCATTACTGATTGGTGCTGTGCAGGCTCAGGGAGCTCCTGGTGAGCAGGGACCTGCAGGTATGGATATCACGCTGCCATGCATTCATATGTTTTATGGTAAAACGTTTTGTGCTTGGATAATTGAGTCAGAAATCCCTCCATGCAGCTTTTTCTCAGCGAGCAGCAACTCTTTTTCTGCGCTCTACCTGCTCCATCTGCTCATATTTCCTCTACCGTATACATGCTCATTTCCTCTAGAAAAAAAAAAGGTTAGTGCCCAGTTGACTGCTGCTTACTTTCAGCGCTCTGTGGCTGTGTGAAACACTTGAATCAGGAAAGTCTCTCTCTCTCTCCTCTCCTGGAGTCCAGCCCAGCACTGCAAGAGTTCACTAACCCTGCTGCACTGTCACAACACGTTAAGGAGAGAGTATTCATTTTCATTACTTGTGTTTATCCAACAGTCTTACTCAGTTGTAGCCACCCCGTGAAGATATTTTACAAGATTATACAATCTTTAAAGTGTCTCTGATGTGTTCATTTGTAGATAAAATAGTCCATCTCTGTGGAAAATAAGTGCAGTCTATGGCTTTGTATAAAATCAAACCAGCTATCACTTATTCAATTCTTTCAATACCCAGTGGGATGGGTACCGAGAACCGGTACTAAGTCAATACCGGTACCTGATTGGACGGTATCGGTATACCGTTAAGCCGCTGGACAAACGGTGCTGCTATCGGTATATCTGTTACGTCTACTTCCTTAGTTTAACTTTAAACCATTCTGGTTGGTTGGGAACCCTCATCCCGTGTGATGTATCCAGTTTGAGACCCCTCTGATTGGCCACTGTAAATGCCACTCCTCATCTATCTCAACAGCGCTCTTATTATTATTGTGAGACTCCCGCAGGCATGGCGGACAGAGCGAAGCGATCCAAGGTCTGGGTGCACTTTAAAAAAATGTAGTGGCGATANACACGCGAGACAGACTGACACTGCAAAGCTACAGACACACATGCGCTGCAGACATTAAGCCGAGACTGGCCATATGTTTCATCTCAGAGAGTAAGTGTCTGACACTTACTCTCTGAGATGAAACATATGGCCAGTCTCGGCTTAATGTCTGCAGCGCATGTGTGTCTGTAGCTTTGCAGTGTCAGTCTGTCTCGCGTGTATGTATGTATGTATGTGTGTGTGTGTGTGTGTGTGTGTGTGTGTGTGTGTGTGTGTGTGTGTGTGTGTGTGTGTGTGTGTGTGTGTGTGTGTGTGTGTGTGTGTGAACAAGATGTATGCTCTCTGGCCTCCCCTCTTCACCACCCGAGGTCTTGGCTGAAAATGACCTGATATCTCCAGGGAGAAAAGAAAAGAGGGATGCGTCCTGCTTTGTGACTCAAGGCCCAAAACATGTATATCTCTTGCTGTGGTACTTGGAGATAAGGAAATAGTGTAGTGCTTACTCATCTTCTCCTCTCACAGCAGGAAAAAACAGACGAGTTAAAGTTAATAACTCCTGAATTTTGATTTAAAGATGCACTGGCCGGTCACAACTCATAACCCGCACCTCTCACAAGCCTTTAATCCTCTGCTTTTCATACTGTTTTAATGATTCATAAAAGTCACTATTGAGAGATTAAGTTTCAACATGCAGATACGAAATACAAAATGAAAAGGCTGACTTAGTGGGCTGTTTTATCTTCAGTGTTAAACCACTTATAAAGCTGTTTAAAAAATCACGAGGGACAATTTAGGACAAAGCAACCTTTAAAAACCATTATACGCCCATCTACATAAAACTATATACCAGACCGCTATTAAAAGAAGTAAACTCCGAAATTACACATGACATCACTCGGCGGTGAGATGCTCAGACTCAACACAAGCGGAAAAGTCGTTTTCCTCCCTGATTCGGTCAGGGTGAAAACTCAAGAGTGCAAAGAGTTATCATAATTCATACATGAGATCATGAGATACAGCTGTCGAGCCTCAGGGTGTCAAAGTTCAGTGATAATCCTTGAATCTGTGGAGCTGAGTCATGCAGACCAACACTTCTGTGTCTCCCAGAGCTCTGTGCGACCAATAACCTGACTCACACGGCGGCCATTTTTTACCCCGGCTATCTGTACAGTTTTTAAGGTCCAAAGAAATACTCTAAACAAGGCAACCAAAGAAAAATGATAGAAAAACTATCCACACGACGACAGGCTAAATTAAGATCACGGTCCAGGTTAATGTCGGTAGGAAAAAAAACGTAAAAGTCACACGCTTTGTTGACAAATCCGCCCACCCCGACGTAATCTCATCTCTTTTGTTCCTGACTGATAAGAGTTGCGTTCACACGGCCACTTGAGGTCCTTCGTCAGGTAGTAGTGAACACGAGGTATTTGACCAAATAACAACATGTAATTTCAAAACACTGCACTGTGCAGTACAATTTAAATAAATTTAAATCCACATCCAATCTTAGAACAGCAACCATAATGATAAAATTAGCGAGGTACATAGAACATACTCTGGTGGCGTGTCAGAATAAAAATAAACAGATTTATTATGATCTAAAAGTATACTGTCTTGATTTCATAGATGCAGTCATCACTGTACTTTTAATTTTCAGTGAGAAATCATTGATATGACAATTTGCAAAAGCATTAGCTCTCCATGCTTGTGGTACTTTTTGTGCTTTTAGGCCACTGTGTGACTCGTTACTACTGTAAGAGCTTCAAAAAGCTACATGACGACAGCATTCCCCTCACTCCCACACAAGTCCTAAACATATGTGGGACATGAAAACATCCTGCAAAGAGAATATACAAATATAAACGTATTGCTGCACAGCTTCATAAACAGGTTTAGAGATGTTTAGAGCTTGTGACTGAGGGTGTAAGAACTTTTCCAACCGAAAGATGGTAGAGAACATTCAGCCTATTGCACAATCCTGGTTTTCTAGAAATGACTACTCTGTCCTTGGCCTATGAGCATGCCACTTCTTCTCCTGTCAACGGTGCCACATTAGTCCCTTCCCTTTCATCATCCTAACTTTCATCCAAAAAACTTCAGCATCAGATTCAAAATGCTGACTGCAGCCGTCCACGCTCCACCTGTCCGCAGCACGGCCTCAGAGATAAATCTTCCAGAGTGAAAGGAGGCCGGCTGCCTCCGTCACGACCGAGAAACTCCTTAAAAAAAAGTCAGCTGCACTTTTGGAACATAAAGTGAACCGGCGGTAGCTCGGGCTAAGGTTTCTGCACTATCAGGTTCAGCTAGGAGAAAGGAATTTAGACTTGGCGGAAAAGAGCTGCTCTGATGGATCAGTGGTCTCGAGCCGAGTTTTGTAATTTATCTCCCAGTTTGCTCCTTCCTGCCCCTGTGCAGATCAGAGAGCGTGTGACACCTCCATCACAGCTAGATATCCACAGAGAAAGTATTAGTCTGCAGCTGAGTCCTAGCTGTCACTCTGAATGAACACTGGAGTCTCTTTCATTCTGGCAGGTGCCCAGAGATAAAGAGACTGCAGTTTCCAGTCCAACAATGCATATGAAGTACAGCATTCCTGGGAGTTATTGTTGATGACAGTTTGAGTTGGAGAGAACATGACTGGGTGAGTAGAAAAATGAATAAATCAACTGGTTTAATATGGAGGATGAGCCATTTTGTCCCTTCAAATTGTCTTCTTACTCTTTATTTTCTAAATCATCCACACCTTTCATATTGTAACATATAGTAAGTACTTTCCCAACTACTCTCCATGAGATTGTGTCATCTCAGAAGCGCTTCGTAAGGATTGCAACCTGTCCCATATCTAATCTGTGGCTTTGTTTAACAGGCTTCACATTCTTGAAGTTTATGAAATCAAATAAATTATCCAATTTGTGTTTTTATTTACAAAATATTTTCAGGTAAAGGAATCATTCTTATGCCCTTCAATAAATACTTCATACATACAGAAAAGAGCCCAATGTACCATCCGATTAAGGGGAACCAAGTTCTGGAATGGCTTTTCAATCACAACAAAAAACTGTACCTCGCTGCATTGCTTTCAAAAATACCCCAAAAAGAATTTTCTCACTGTATGATGCCTCGTTTTCATATTCCCATCAGTATTTTTTTATTTACATTTTAGGTAAAGCATATATTATTCTTAAAGTTTGCCATGTTTCTTGAATTTAAGCAATTGTTTGCATATTGATCTTGTATTTGATAAAAAACTGTGATGTTTAACACTATTTAGGAAAAAGCACTTTAACTGTACGGCACTCTCTCCTGCTTTAATCACTCTTTTAATTCTCAGGCGCTAAAAAGGGACACATTGTACTCGCTAAGCATGACCCAAACACAACATACAGCCCTCAAGTGTCAGAAATTTAAGACAGACACCGAATGAGTCTGTCAAGAGATTTCCTGTGATAATCTCCATGCTGCCACTTGAGGAACAATACTTGCTATTATTCTGCAGGAAAGCACATACCCCTGCAGCCCTCAATTCTCTGCCCTTTCACCCCTTTGGCGTCCCTTTGGCTACTCACCCACACCCGAGGGGTAGCGGTGCGTGGACTGTGAGACAGAGCGCACAAAGACAAGGGAGCCTCAAATCTAATTTTACTTCCAAAGTTCGGCTGCAAAGGATCATTGTGGTTATGGCTCGTATAGAAAGAACGAATGATGGTCATCATGCTTATTACTTCAGCCTGTTCTTTGTCCTTTCAACAGGAACATGAGCAGACCTACCCGGTAAAGAACACCCCTCCATTTCCTTTTCACTTCATGTCCCTTATAGTGTTTCTCGTTCGCCTGGCTTAACACAATAACATTTCTTTAACAACAGAAAAGGAGAAACACATTCGCTCTCTTTGCCTTTTCTACCTGGCAGCACTTTGAGACACGTGTCCCATTGGAGCTGTGCCACCCCTCGCTGGTGCAGCCACTCTCGGTTTACACACTCGTCTCTATAAAAGATGGAGCAGATTAATAGATTACTGAGGTCGGAGGGAAGACAGAGGCGAGCTTGGACTCTCAGGACAAACGGTAACTCTCCACTTCGTCTCAGGGTTGAGGACCCATCTGGCCGCAGATTTAGTAACTCTGCTTCAATGGGGCTCTGTTTACTTGAGTAGCTAGGTTTACACAGGCAAAATGAAGGGCTTCATATAAAACGCATTAACTGAGAATAATCCTTTTGGTCTTTTGTAAATAGGATGTAATGATGGGGGATGTCCAAAGAGGGTAAGCACTTTGAAAAGGTTCAGAGAGACTAGTTTGTTCACAGGCTGTGGTTCAGTACAAGATCCTTTGAACTGTACAACTTTGCTTTCTGACATATCAGTTTCAACATTCATCTCATTGCAAAAAGTCCCATTTTCAGGCAATAATTCACAACAGATAAAAACTTCAAATATGTTCCCACTGTGAGCACCTAGATAGCATTCACAGACAAACAAAACCTATTATTTCCAGCCAGAATGAGACTTGAACCTTTAAAGCCAGATGTATTGTTCATTGTAGATTTACAGAGTAAGAACAGAGACTATTAATGTAGCTTTCGTAGCCTCGCTTTAGCTAATATAGGGCACTTTGGATAATGTCTGGAGAATCAGGGGTAGAAGTTACGAGGAGTATCCCTTTTTACACATGAAGCACAACTCAGGAGGTCTTCTCTCTACTTGAGGGATACCACTGATAATTAGTTCCATCAATAAATAATCTACCAATAATCGTATTAATCTGTTTAACCTTTCAGTCAATAAATGGTCCAACACTTTCCTTAGATTTCTCTAAACCCCAAGCTGATGCCTATTCGAAATACCGAAAAACCAATATCATTTATTTCAATCACATTGAACACGATGATAAGCAGAACACTCTCAAAGAAGAAAAACTGGAGTTGGAGATTGTATTGAATAATGTTTTTCATTAAAAAAAAATCCCAGATGTACAAATGAGATTGCCGACATATATGAAAGATGAGAAGGTTTTAATAATCTTCGTCTTTTCAGTAACACACACACCAAGCAAAGTCATTTCTACTGCAAACCTTCTGCCTTCCATGACCTTAACTCCCTAACCCAGTAAATTAAAGAATGGCAACACATTTACAACGGATAATATATTTAAAGCACTGTATGATCTGATAATGTACAATCCGTCTGGTGTAGACAAATCATAAAATAAATCCTATACTGGAAACACCTACAGCAACACTGCTGCACTAGAACACATAAATCCACATTAACACAGACAGTGTTTTAACACCGTTACATAACTGTAAAGAAATATATCTTTAAAAAGGTGAGATTTCGAAAGACAACATGGAGGGCAACCAGCCGAAACGGAGAAGGCAGCAATTACACCATCCTCCGTCAACACATAGGCAATGATAGCAGCAGGAAAAGCAGGTAGCTCTAAATCTGGCCCAGCAGCAGTGATTACCTGCCCTGTCTGTCCATCATGAGACACACACCTGATATCCAGTGTGTGTGTCAGTGTGTATTGGTGCAGAAACAGGAGGAAGTCAGTGTGCAGTGTGAAGTTTGTTAACTATAAGTCAGCAAGTTCAGCTTTTTTTTTCTTCAGTTTTGTAAAAGTTTTTGTGAGTAATTCGTGGTGTAATATATTTTCAGCCTGTACACACAGACTTGTGAGTCTGTGCTTGTGTGAGCAGGTGTCTTTAAACAAGTCTGCGTGTGTGCAAGTGTTTGTTTGCTGCCAGGCTCTGACTGTGAGCACAGTATGAATGAGTGAGAAGGCAATAAACACCTGAGGGGGCAGGAGCACACAGACACTCTCTCTGGACTGTATTTATGATCCTGATTGAGGGGGGAGGGGGGAGGGGGGGCACACCGCTCGGATCTGGACGTGGCGAGGGTCCAACCAAAACAACGGGGCTGTTAAAGCCCCTCTGGATGAATCCCAGGGGGCAGCGGAGCGGAGGGAATGCAGGCCTGGGTTTAGAGGTTCAGGGGTACGTCCTGTTGTTAATGAGCTCACCCCCGGGGCCCCTCTGGCTCCCGGCCCCCGACCCACCAGCCTCCCCAGCGCATGGCCACCACCTCCGCCTGCACTGGTCCTGGACCACTGAAGCAAACCACACTTCCTGAACAATGTGAACATCACTCTGTGCCCCTGAGATGATCCCAAAAGATGTGTGTTGAAGAAGTAAAGTAAAAGACGGTGAAAGGAAGTGCCGTCTGTGCAGCGCCGTAGAGGGAACATGCCTGAATGTGTGTCTAGACACATAAAAGTGTGACCATGCAGCGAAGGAGATACGAGCACTTTCCTAAATGATGCATGTCTTATGCTCTATTAGAGCAGGGTGAACAGCACTTTCTGTGAATCAATACGGCACTGGAGACTTGAAGTTTAAACATATGCAGAAAAGTACGTTTATTTTACACAATTTGAAACACAAAAGGGTAGGGCTTTAGAAAATACATTAAAATCACTTAACAAAAAAACAGTCTCGATCTACCAGGGATAACATTTTATTCGCCTGATCACTGAACTAAAGCCTTTCTAATGCCCGATATTTGGCTCCTGTGGATATTAGCTTCCTATTGTGTTTTCTGTATACAACCATGAATGCTTATTTGTGCTCCTGCTGTCAGGACATCATCTCAACGGGACTCACTTGATAGATGTACCACGACACAGAGAGTGCATTCATTTATAAAGTACATTCAGACTCACTTCTGGTTGCCTCACAGTTTGAATTTAAAGGTCCAATAGTTTGCCCTGAAACTAGAGTAAAGTATTTCTCACAGCTCTCTAATAATACGGCTTACTGTAAAGTCCCATTCTGTCAGCCTCGTATAGCTTCAGCTTTATTAATCAGACATTTGATCTCTTGGGGTCGAGTTGTATTATCCTCTACAGTTTCCTCTTCTAGCTAACCCAGTGAGGTCATTTTCCCTTGGTCAAGAGGATTGGCTCCTCGAGGAGAACGCCTGCTCCTCGGTCAGGTTTTTAGCTCTAAAGCCAACCAGGAATGTCTCCAATTAGGCTGACTGCTGGTGCAGTTCATCCAAACCTCCTCTCCGATCTCGTCTTCAGTCCAGGACTAATCACAACCATCATCACCACTCCCCTCATTCCCGCTGAGGAGCACCGTATCCACTGCATGAGCAAATGGAAATATATGCTAAGACTCAAAATAGAGTCAGACGGGGGGAACGAGTTTTAAATTCTACACGTTTCCCAGCGTTGAGTGGCCGGTAAACTGAGACTAAACTTGAAAGGTTGAGTTTGGGAGGTCTGTGACACGAGAGGCCGTAAGTGATGTCACACACACACAACAACATGTGTGATGTGGTGGTCTGTTTGTGGTTTAGTAAACATGGGAGTGGAGGAGGTTTGAAGGTCGGCTTCATAAATTCCCCTCCCACTGAACCACAACACTCGAGCCTCTCTTATGTGGTGTTGTATATGTTTATGAACTCCTAACAATGACAAATGAGCAGCTAAATCAGCAGGACTACTGCAAGGGTAACAACCCACAGACTCATAGTGTGGGATAAACATATTGAATTAGAAAGCAACTGTTTTTAAATGTACTTTTATGTTTCTTTGATCCAGAATACATGAAACTAAAACTACTAAAGGTTTGGGATATACGGTCACACAAAAGAAGCAATTTGAATACACCACTTTGAGCATTTTCTCTTAGATAGTGTTATGGTTTTGCCAAGAAAATGGTCTATATCATTTTGAAGTTGCACCCCTATGTTTATGAAAAAGTAAACAGAAGAGTACTAAAAATGCACCATACAGCGTGAGGAAGTCAAATGAAGATGGAAAGCGCAGATCGAGACAGAATGAAGTGGATCATTTGGACACATTTGTTCAAAGATGGTGATTTTTAAGTTAGGGTTTTGTGATTACATGTATCTTTGCAGGCTATTATTGGGTCCATTGAACTCATCACAGCTGTATGTAACCAACAGGACCAAGTGCAACATCACAAATGTCTCATTGTCTCTGCACTGACAGCCAAACTTCATCACTTTCTCAGAGCCCACATAAAGACAGCAGCCGTGGTATTGCGTACCACTCTATACCTGCAAGATGAAGAATAGTGATATGCTGAAAGGCCGAGAGCAGACAGGGTTCGTGCAGCTCTAATGGCATCCGTAAGTGGATCAGAGACGAGAATAAAGTGGAGCCCACACCTCTAGACGTGCGGAGACTTAAAAAGGGTAGGATTTTAAAGTTTTTTTTCTTCAAATAATGAATTTGCAGTTCATTTGGCCTTATCTTGACCAGGAAGAGAGCATTTTTTACTTCTCTCTGCTTCCGATTGCGTGATCCGTCATGCTGTAAAGAGCATCTCTGTTTGTGTCACTCCGGGAGCTCACCAGACCACTTAGACTTCAGGGCAAGGGGGGAAATGCCTCCACTTCATTGGGGACAGAAGAATACTCCAGCTGCCATGGCGTGTGCGTGTGCATGTCTATTTTCATCCCCTGAAACTTTTTCTTTTTCACTGCTGACTCGGCCCACTTTATGTCTTTCAGACTGGAGGAAAAACAGTTTTCAATGCACTCCTGGGGAAAGTCTAGGGGAATAATAAATAAATCAGTAAGCAGAAGAAGCATTTCCAGTCCAGACCCTGATACACAAAACTTAACTCTTCAAAGGTTGCATCTAAAGAAATTCCTCTGCCATAATGACAGACCGAAACAGAAGGTGCAGGAAAACAAGTTATCTATTTTCCATGTATAGACAGGATATCAAATACATAAAATGTATACCATAATAAATCAAATGAATGTATCTGGTCAGGAAGTTTTATTCTACCATAATTATGCCTGTCTTTTGCATTTGGCCCGACATTATTGGTCAAACCTTAAAAGCATAGGGAGTAATAATTATAATTCCTATATCCCTATCATTATTATTCCACAAGCGGCTCTGTCTGCGGTTTGTATGGTACACTCCAAAATGTTATTATCATAATTATTAATATGCAATTCAAACATGTGAACCCCTTTTTTCCCATACTTAATAGACATACCAGCACACACATGCAAAAGAAGACAAATGTATGGTGGGAAGGACAGACAGGAGGAGAGGAGAACACGTGCCTCTGCTGTTTGGTTTGTTTTAGGTTGGCTGTTCTGTGTCTTCAGTGTTGTTGTTTGTTAATTAATGACTATAATGACAGTTCCCCTGGGCTGAAGGAGTTGGACTCTACCATGTCTAATCTCATCTGGGGCCCTCAGCCCTGTTTGTTGAACTTCAGCTGCTTTCAATTTAGACTGTTCACTTGTGCTGCGCTGCCCATTTACATAACTGTGATCATCAGCTGCTGTGGCCTCTTCTGCTACAGCCTGCCTGCTGAAAGTATGCCTCTTATGTTTCATTGTGGATTTCTTGTAATAAGGGGCTTAAATAATCAGCTGATATCTTTCATCAAATGTGTTTTTTGTGAATTAATTTCAGTTTGTGTATTTCTGTAGTTGGTGTTAAACTGAGGAATTATTTACCAAATGATTTAAAGGGCTGTATGAACATCTTTAGGTTTAAGAAAATGTATAAGGAAAGAATATTAAGACAGTATGAAGATGTCAGGCAACATGTTTAGCTGATGGTAGATTATTGGGTTGACTTTTGATTGGGTTTTTGGTTTCATGTTACTGTATGTAAGCAGCTGTGATTGACACACCATCCATTTTTTTAGTAAGGGACAAGTTAAATAAGACTTTCTTCTCCTTGCTCCTTTCCAGCATAGGCGGTAAACTGCTTAAAGTGAACATATGTTTGGTTTTATAACATTATTGCCATGAGTGGAATAAACTCATAAATCAACAAATATTGAACACCTGCTAAAGCAAACACAAGGGAATCCAGGAATGTGACAGAGAGAAGGCTAAATGAAAAGGTGCCTCCTTGTTTTGCTTCACTGTGTGGTCTGAGAGGAGTGGGAGTGGGGGTCACCTGCTCTCGTTCAGCTCGTTCCCCTCTGACCTCGGGCTGGGGTCGCCCCACTCACAGCTACTAAAGCCTGCTGCCATTAAAGCAGCTAATCACGCCAAACAGCTGCATCCCTCACTGTACAAATCCTCCACACCTCGCTCTCCCACCCACACGTTCGCTCTGGCAGTCAGACAGACACATATACCGTCGTCCACGCACTCCCACTGTTCCTTTTGCTAATGGCAAGCTGCAGCCGGCTGATGTTTAAAGCGCGGGGTTTAGCGTGCAGGCCTGTGATAAGCCGCGCTGAGCTGTGAAAACACAGATTACATTTCTGCGGCTTATTACAGACAGCGCGCCTCCCAGCCATACCGTAATTACGACCCAAAAAACCGCAGCCTCCGCTTGGCTGTAAGATATGGCTTGATGGGGACCCCCCCTCCCCCGCGGCAGAGCTTTGACAGCCATGCTAATTCAAGTCTACGTTCCCCCCATATGTTTTCCTGCATGCCGGCCCCCTCCTGTGATAAACTGCAGCCATATTTCTTTTAAGTTTTGTTCTGTCATAAATCAATGCACAGATATCAACTGTTGTTTCTAACAAAAAGGAAGAGGGCAAAAGTCCAGAATACCTATCAATTTCACAGTTTTCCACGACTGCTTAGCGTGCAATCATCTTGCACTGCTGTACTCTGTGTTTAAGCAATCTGTATCAGAGCCTTTGAGAGACAGCTCTAATTTAATAATGATGCTTTGTGGGTTACATTTGATATTCTGATATCACGAAATTGCTGCTAAATTAGGTGTAATTTAGATATTTGTGTTTGATGAAGCACGAGTTGGGATATCCATTTGAAAACAAGCATCTACTTACTTGGAATGCCAAAGCCAACCAGGCATACATTAAATCCCTGCTCCTGGCAAGCTATGAAAGTGCCTCCATCTGCAAATACTTAACCTTTTTTTTCTTTCTCAGGCTCAATCAAAGATAAAGACCATTGTGTTCCAGATCCACAAGTAAGACAATATCTCCCCAAACTCATAGAAAACAATTAGGACCTAGTAATTACAGCATTGGCCTGGAATTCAAGCCAAGTCCTAAGGTTGGGGTGAGTAAATAAGAAATGGAGAGCGAATGTGAAAAGTGCCTCCCTGATGCGGTGTTATCTTTCTCCGCTCGGACTCTGACGGAGTGAGTTTGTTTATCAGCCTGAGTGTGATGTAATGTTTTGCTTCTGGAGCCTTTAGTATGAGCGTGATAGGTCAAAAAGCCTCACAGTCCTCTGTATGACAGCATGACGTGATTTCTTCCCATAGAGTTGTTTTATTTATCTCTTCAGCCTGCCTCTTTGGAAACACATAAAAACTTAAACAAAGACACGTTATCTTTACTTCAGACTGGACTTGTTGATTGACATAATGTTGACCTATCGGCTGGCAGGTGGAAGGGTGAGAACAGAGGGACACAAGAGAAAACTAATTTTTTTAAAATATGGCCATATCATTGGCTTAAACGTATTTATGTTCCCCTCTTGCACCGTAGAGCAGCCCCAGAGTTCTGCTGGAATGGACATTGTTGATATCTGCTGTAATGCAGAAGGGCCTTGGGAGTCAGACGTGGCCAGGGGCTTTTGGGTTGAAGGTTGGAATTAAAAGCACGGCATCGCAAGTAAATGAGTGGATCATACACATTTTCCACAGTCTGTGAAAAGCAGAAGGAAAGGGATGATGGGAGCACAGGTATACAAACAACACTGGCAATCCAAATGATCTTTAAAGATATATGTATCCGGTGTTCGTTATTTATGGGATTTATGAGATCAAAAGCACTATGTTTTTAATGTCTGGACTAGACATTAGACTTCCAAAAGGAGGATAGTTGTTTGATCTTTTTTATAGCACAGCTTATTTTTGTACCGAGCCTTTTTAATTAAGCCTCAATCAAGGTCAAACAAGTTCTCAAAGCTGTCTTGAAATACACAACGAAATGCGTAGAGATTTGCAGAGGCAGCCATAAACAGGTATTAAGAGCCTGGATTTGAAACTTGCCCTCACTGAACTACGAGTGCAGCTTTAACTTCACTTGGCAATACTATGGCAACAGATTTAAGCTCAATCCGTTCTCAAGTTTTACCCATGTGGCAAGCTATTATTTCACCTTAAAGCGGAAAATGAGGCAGACAGCAGTATCAGGTTCTGCGCTGGCAAGAGGTTCTGCTCATGCGGCAGGAGCAGAACAAAGCGCCCATGGCCCTGGTGAGCATCCATGGTGCCGGAGAGTAAAGGCCACGTGAATGGGACCTGTCACTTCCACTCAGCGCTGCCTGTGATCTGAGCCACCCGGAACGACGCTCAGATAAGTGGCTAATCCCAGCACCCCCCCTGGCTCGACAGCCCCCTACCGCCATGACAACCGGAGGGGAATCTCCTGTAGCAACAACTTAATTGGATAATTTCCTCCCTGTTTGACTGTGTGTTCCTCTGCTTTTGTTAAGTAAAGTCTTGGCTGTCTGACTCTCAGTGTGTTCTTTGACTTTGAAAGTGGGAGAGCTCTAAAACAAGCAGGATATTCAGCCAGTTCTGAAGTGCAGGGCTGAGAGTTACTCTTACAGTAGTTACAACCTGGGAGTGGTGGCGTAAAAGAAGAAAAAACAGCCCCCGCCTTCAGCACCACAGAAAAGCGACCACTCTAACCACTGTAAACATTTATTGTCCTTTGTGGGGCAAAGACTGACGATTTATGTTACACCCAGTCACGTCCTGGGTCCCTCCACCCTACTCCCCAGACTGCAGCGACACAGGGGCCGGTGCCAGGGGAAGTCACTATACACTGGTGTGTGTGTGTGTGTGTGTGTGTGTGTGTGTGTGTGTGTGTGTGTGTGTGTGTGTGTGTGTGTGTGTGTGTGTGGGGCAGCTACTGTAGTTGAAAAATGAAAACAGCAGTGCTAGATTGGCACATTAAGAGCATGACGACTTGGTTCCAGCTGGACCTTACAACTCAAAACCACACACACACAAAGTCCACCTCGAAGAACAATGGACACATTTAAACTGATTAATAAAGTGGAGGCCTCACCCTGGAGCACCTAAAGGATCTTATTTCTTGTGTGTTTAGATGACAGAAGTTGCATTATGTAAGCCTAATGGAAATCACTGCTATAAGGCAGCAATGCACAACAGAAGGATGCACATGGTGAAATGTGGGTAAGCTTGAAGAGATGAAGAATGATAATAAGAGGAAACATAGACGCAATAATAATGTGATGTTGGCCCCCTCCCAAGGGCCCCGACTGTTGTTCATTACTCTCTGCTGCTGTTTAAATAATATGCACGAGTCCTTCTGTCTCCACTTACCTTCTCCACAGGCCGCGCCGCTGAATCCTGGACAGCATTTCCACTCCAGAGAGGTCACAGTGCGATACACCACTTTATAGGAAGGTCTGACCACGGTCCTGTAGCTGCAATACACACACGAAATAAAAAGCAATCACACACAAACACAGGTTACGATAGTTGTCTGTGTGTAAACTCGGGTGTGTGATCTGGCAATTTTGTGTTCAAATAAAAAAGTTGTTTTTTTCATGTACTGTATAACTGGTGCACTTTAGTCTTTTAGTCTTTAGTATCTCCATATCGCTGAATTTTTGATTTCCTATATTTCCCATAATGCCTTTTTTCTACCCTGAGGAACATGTGTACCACATTGTAACATGGTGTACCCAGAACATAACATGTGGTGCAGCTGCGTTGCATCCTGATCTATTGTTGAGACATTGGCATTTCTAACAATAGATTTCCTCCTGAGTGACATATGAATCCCTCACTGTCAGAAGAGTGTGAAGAAACAAGAAAACCAGCAGTTGTTTTTTTTTATCGTAGAGCTCAAACATTATTACCCCAACCTCAAACATTATTACCCCAACAAGCTAGTTTTGCTGTGCTGTGTGTCATTTTTTAAAGTGGTTCAGAAGAGAAACAACTGTAAAACCATGATCTTTACAAAGAAATACTCAAAAGTATTTCATTTAAATAATGACTGTTGGTCACTATCTACTTCTGTTTGTACCACTCTAAGAGCAAACAACACACATAAAATTGAGCATATATCCCACTAATACATTTGTTGCAATATTCACATATTATTAATACTAGGAATATTAGGAGTATGAGGCTTTTGTGACGTTATTGCTGGATAAAATGCTGTATTAAGTTACTGCTAACCCTAGCCTAACCCTAACTGCAAAACAATCTTCACATTAAAAAGCTTTGACCTGGAAAAACACAAGATAACTTTTGTTATTGAGTATGAACAAGAAATGTGATGCGTTAAGCAACACAATAGTCGATTACGGCATCTCTTGGCAGCAGATTAGTTTGAAATATTGCAGGAAGTAGTTGAACGTGAAGGTACAAAATCCTTATATCTCCGACCTAGCAAATCTGCGCAGAGGGTTTTCCAACTTGCTGCCTAAGTGTGGGCTAAAAAACACAACTTGAACAAGAAGCTAAAATAAGCCTCTGGGTTTTACAGACGGAAAATAACATGATCTTCAAAAACAAAAACGTTTTTCTGCTTCTGAACTCCTCAATAGTTAAAATCTTAACAATTTTCAAACTGCACTTCCCCATGAGTTGTTCTAAGCATTGTAAGGTGAGTTCTTCTTTAGGGCAGTCTTCTCACCTTCCTCCTGTACATCCCTGCGGCCAGCGGCACGTCTGGTACACCCGCTGTAGCACGGTCCCGTTCTGCACCTGGCAGGTCACTGTCTTAGTGACCGTGTGAGGACACCAGTTCCTGAAGGGAGGACGAGAAAGAGTGAATGACATCATCAAACAGCTGTTATTTTAAGAAAAACTCAAGAAAGAATGGTTTAAACACCTTCAAACAAGTGCACACACACTAGCATGCTCACAAAAGACACTAAGCCATGCCGGCACATTCAGAATGTTGTCTTTTCCGAGGGACGAGATTCGCTCCTCTCTTCCCCCACACTTTGTTTTGAAACCTCTTCACACAGTTTTAATCAGTAACTACATTTGCAGGAGTGCATTGTGGGCTGTATTTACTCTTTTACTGTCTCTCTCCTATCAATGACATCCGTTTGCTCTCAGAGGAGGTAAAGTAGTTTTAGGATGAAATAAAGAGCAAGACGAGGTCCCATACGGAGATTAAAGTCTTTCACACAGGTTCATTCTTGGTCATAAATCTGCTCCTTAAGAAAAGGCTTTGGAAAACCCTGTATCAGGATTCACTCAGGCTCTTAAGAAACCCGGGTATTAAAAAAATTGGTTGCGACTCGGTGGAAGCCTCCCCATTCCCTCTCACGTAAGGTCTGGGTTCTAACATATCGTATCTAGAAATATCGACAGCCCGGGTACATGGGGCAAAGGAGTCAACAATAGAGATGTGGACTTCGCTAATTGTGAACCTCAAAAGCATATTAGGATANGGAGGGAGGGAGGGACGTCACTGGGTTTTGTTTATTTCTTTAGTTTTGTTCTGTTTTTGTACTGTATTGCATTTTATGTTATTGATTGTACCATTTGTTTAATAAATTTAAAAAATGTGATTACAAAGAAAAAAGAAGCCCGGGTATTAGGCGGTAGAGAGATGATATCAAGGTCAGAAGATAAGATCTGATATTTTGGAGGATTTGATTACGTAGAGCAGACTGAGTCAAGTGCATTCACTTACATTCACCTCCAAGTTACTTCATAGGCTTCCAGGAGAACAATTATATACTTTCAAACAATGCCATCGTTAGACTAGAAGAGCCAAATCATGTTTTTATAATTAACGTTGATTTATTTGAGGGCTAACCGGTTTGGTTTATTCCTCACAGAAACCTCCCTGTAAGAGGGGCATATGTGTTCCTGCGGGGCATCGAGAGTCGTTTATGAGAGAAGTTTATCTTGAGAGGCCAGTTTCATCCCCCTACTTATCATTTCAACAAAACACCAAAGGGGATTTCTCTGCTTAATGTATGGAAAACACACTGAGGCTGTTTGAGCTGCCATATGTTACTATTATTGAATTAACAAATACCCACATTACCTTCACATGGCTACAGCTGGAGGAGAAACGAGGACAACAACTATTATAGCCTCTGTTTACACAATCAATAGATGTATATAAAGGGGGCTCTATGTAGAAACCACAAAGGAGACTGTGTGGCTCTGGGCACAAAACTACACTTTGTGTGTTCTGCTGCCAACATGTTTGCAAGTGTGGGAGTGTGTTCCCACCAAAGTCTGTTTGTCAATATGTGAGACCATATGTTTGTGTGTGTGAGGGACGGTTTACACTAAAGGAAACTGCCGAGGGCGGAGGATGCGAAGTAGCCCTTTACCAGCTCCCATTAACAATCCCCACATGTTGTGGTGGCCGCACACACAGACCTGAGCCCACGAGCAGGAGCACCTCTGAGAAATGTCTGAACACTGCTGCAGGTATTTCCTTTGATGAGACCCTCTGCTTTAGTTCTGTCTGGAGTTTTGATTAAACTTGAGGTTTCTCCATACATGTAATAATCGTTTGGCCTTGAGAATAATGCCAATTTGAAAAAAGGTTCACCAGATCAACTTCAAAAATGTTATATGGACTTTTAAAAGCAAAGATAGTAAGAAACAGTGTTGAGTAGATCTTAAGCTTCTCTCGTAAAGACGGTAGGCAATAATCTGCTATAAGTTATTTAAATACAGCCTCTTCTTCCATGTCTCTTACTAAGTTTATCCGTCAGCCTTAAGAATGCAAAAATGAAAACTGATCTGTATGATTACCCTATGATTGCTTTCCTGTGTCCACAAAGAGTCGGGTTTTTTTCACCAATCATCGGTGAAAAATGTCAGATATTGAAGGAGCTGTGGTCAGGTAGAGCAGGGAGTAACGG